TAGCATTTATAATTCTCTGTTATAAGTATCTGCTTACCATTCTCTCATCTCAGTAAGCAATTATTTCCTTTTGATCAGAAACTGTGATTTTTAATCTCTTTATTATACATCTTGACACATAATAAATATTCAATGTACCTTTTTCTTAAATAAATGCATTAATGAGATTTATGGACTAAAATGCTCAAATTAAAAACCAAGTAAAGAAAAAAGTAGAATGTATTCCCATGTTATGAACTCAATTTCATCACATTCTCACATGCACAACCAACTTTTATTTAAAAACAAAAAGGTCCCTGGATGCTTATTCTATGGTGTCTGAAATTAGGTGACTCTTAATTTATTGGCAATATAAGATTATCTCATGAATGTGTATTCAGACACATCATATATGTAAAGTGGAAGATACCTAGATATGTGTTTGTGTCTCTAGGGTGTCCTCCTGGATCACATGCCATTCAATATGGCTGGAATGCTTATGCCATGATTGTTTGATTTTTCCCCAATAATAAATTAAATCTCTAAATAGTACTATTTCAGCATTATGCTACAATCAATTATAGCTACTATTATGGTTGTTTGCACATCAATGACCCCACTTTTAATCATCTAGCTTTTAATTGTGCTTGTTTCCACACTTCTAGCCTATAGTCCACTGCAGAAGGAACAGGTAAATTAATTAACTTTCCTGCAGTTATAGCCATACTTTTTTCCACTATATACATTATATACAACATACATATTAATATGACTTTTCACAGATTCTCACTCAAAATCACTCTGTAATATCCAGCATGACTATTAGGATAGCACATAGCTCTTAATGTAAGAAAATTGATACCCTTCAGTTAGATGAGGTTAATACTTTTATCCTAGTCTTCTATGGAATATCTTATTTTTCACTCAAGCTGTCTGCCATTATCTGATCTTTTTCTCTTTTTCAAATTACCCCAAGTTAAAACGATCATTTTCTTACATTGATGCTTAGATACTAACTTCATTTTCTGTGTCCGCAATTGCTCACTCATCGAACACAAATGTAGAGACTTCATCAACTGTACCTCTACAGTTCTGTGCTGTATAGAACTGCATCTCACTCTTTCTATAAATCTATAGCTCCGCTTTTGATAGAAAAGGAATAATGTCTAAGTTGAATTCTACCAGAGCAAGTCTTCTCCACTTTTCAAAAGTAATTGATTCTAAGTAACTTCCTAGGTTTATACTTCCAGACGTGCCTCTGGCTTCAGCACCCTGAGGTTTTTCTTTTTCACAGTTTCATTTCCAGTAGGCCTGCACAATATAGAAAGGCTTTTGGTATCAAAGTGTTGATAGAAGCTTGAATCTGGTTCAGTACGGGTCACAAGGGTACATGGAGAGTAACCCAGAGATGAGCTTAGCACTAATTAGTGACAAGAGAAGCTGGGTAATATTACTTCTTCTGTACTGAACATCTGTTTTGTTCAATTGACTACATTACGTGGATTTGCTCTTTAATTCCCACAGTTAACGTTATGAAGCAAGTAGTATTTCCATTTCACAGATGCGGTTTAGCAAGGTTAAGCAGTTGTTCATGAACCTGAAGCCTGTGAATGACAGGGTATGATCTGCCTCCTCCCATCCCTGTGAGTAGGCATTTAAGATGAATTTCTGCGACTAGTTTCCTTAAATCTCTCTTTAGTCTATTTGCCATGCACTGATATTTTGTCCACTATGTGCCAGGCACTGTTCTAAGAGCTTTAAAATATTGAAAGCATTTGCTCATAACAGCCATCTAAGTGATACATTATGAACCTCATTTTAAAGAACAGGAAACTAGGACCAGAAATATTCAGTAAATTGTCCAAGATCATGCAGTTTTTCAATGTTTTATTTATTTATTTATTTATTTGTTTGTTTGTTTGTTTGTTTTTGAGACAGAGTCTTACTCTGTCGCCCGGGCTGGAGTGAGTGGGGCGATCTCGGCTCACTGCAAGCTCCGCCCCCCGGGTTCCCGCCATTCTCCTGCCTCAGCCTCCCGAGTAGCTGGGACCACAGGCGCCGCCATCACGCCCAGCTAATTTTTTGTATTTTTAGTAGAGATGGTTTCACCGTGTTAGCCAGGATGGTCTCGATCTCCTGACCTCGTGATCTGCCCGCCTTGGCCTCCCAAAGTGCTGGGATTACGGGCGTGAACCACCACGCCTGCCCTTAAATGCTGTTTTTAAATACACAGACACATGAAACTAAATTTTAATGTTTAGCTAAATATTATGCTATTGTAATAAAGTCATTGCATTTTTCAAGATTTTGTTTTGTTTTAAAATAGATTTATATTCGGCAGTAGACATTTTTGTTTCAAGTCTAGTTATCAATTGTCCATGCCTGGAAGGTATTTACCTTTTAAGCCTTGGTCACTCTAACTGCCACTATCACTATTTCCTTTTGGCAGCTACTAGACTTTCAGACTGAGAAACTTGGGATTAATAACAGTTTCGAGGAGATGTACATTAGAGATCCAATATATTTCATTGATGACACGTGCCCTACTTCCTCAATATCCTTCACTCTAGCCAAGGCTGTCTGTGACTGGAAGAAAGAAATACTTTGCAGGATCTCTAGAACTGCAGGCTGCTGACAAGGACCATTAACTAATTTAGATTTAAGTGTCTGTGGAATTGCTGGCTAGAACCACTACAGCAATGCCATGGGATAATAAAGGTTTACTTCTGCCAGGGAGTCTCCAGAGCTGCCTGTGCCTCATATTTCTTCTTACTGAAGTTAATGCACTGGAAACTGTGTGTGTGTGTGTGTGTGTGTGTGTGTGTGTGTGTGTGTGTGTGTGTGTGTGTGTTTATAGGAACACATGACATGGTTTGAATAAAATGTAGGTTTGATAGTATGCAATTAGGTGAACAATTTATTACATGTATGGCATTAAACAGATCAGAAAGAGTGTGTTATTATTGGCTACATGGATCCTCTATAATGTTATTTGGTGTGATGTTCTTCACATGAATTGCTCTGACAGTTTTTATGTCTTGTCATTGCATGCTGACGGCAGTGTGCAAATAGGTTTGCCACATAGGAATTACCTGTCCCACAAGTTCATTTTCAATGGCATTCTCAAGATCAACCATCCTTGCAGGAGTTAAGAAAGATTTATAGAATCATTGCAATGCAAATCCTTAGAAAGAAAGGCATAACAAAACTGACAGTATTGTATAGAAGAGAATATGAAAAAATTCACTATTTTTAATGTTTCATATTTTTAAAAATGTAACTGCTATACAATAAAAATGTAGACATTAAATTTCCATAAAATCAAATTTTAATGTTTTTTCTCCCCACATGTTAAACAACAGCTTCTGATAAATCTTTGTAAGGAGTCTATGCTAAAACTAGTAAGTAACTGACATTTGTTTAAAGTGTGAAATCACCAACACATTCCTCAATATACAAAGCAGTGGTTTACATTTAAAATTATCTCAATGTAGATTACAAAAGGAAAACCTAGAAATTCTCCATTTCTGATACCCACAGTTGTTTGGTCATAGAGAACTTAAAAAATTGCTGAAAGAAATACTAGCATCTTGTAATATTTTTGTCAAATATATATATACACACATATATGTGGGAACATGTACGTATATACATATATATAGAATACAAATTTTTAATGTTTAATTTTGTGCATATGAGGCAAATCTCATATGGTGTTTGAAAAATAGCTGGACTATTTCCAGAAAAATAAATTTTAAGTGTGCATAAAGAAGAAAACTTTAATCATTTTAAAAATCATTGTATAGTTTGTTTCTCTTGGGACAATTGGGCTAATTATATATTTTCTATTACTTTGTGGCTGCCCACAGCATTTTACTATATATCATTGTATGTGCCACAAGGATAAAGCAGTATTTGTTATTAAATTCCTACTACTTTATGAAAATTTATGGGGTACATAAGAAATGTTTTACATATACAATGTGTAGTGATCAAATCAGGGACCCAATTACATTTTTTTTTTAGTATAGTCATCCTACTTTGCTATCAAACATTGAATTTATTTCTTCCATCTTACTGCATGTTTTTACCCTTTAGCCCAGCAGTTCCCAACTTTTTTGGCACCAGAGACAAGTTTGTGGAAGACAATCTTTCCATGGATGGAGGTTGGGGGTCATTATTTCAGGATGTTCCATGCACATTATATTGGTTGTGCACTTAATATCTGTTATCATTAGATTGTAATATATAATGAAATGATTATACAACTCACAATAATGTAGAATCAGTGGGAACCCTGAGCTTGTTTTCCTGCAACAAGATGGTCCCATCTGGGGGTGATGGGAGACAGTGGCAGATCATCACGCATTAGATTCCCATAAGAAGCATGTAACCTAGATTTCTTGCATGCACAGTTCACAACAGCATTTGAACTCCTATGAGAATATAACGCTGCTGCTGATTTGACAAGAGGTGGAGCTCAGGCAGCAATATGAGCAATGAAGAGTTGCTGGAAATACAGATGATGCTTTGCTCACTTGCTCGCCACTCATCTCCTGCTGCATAGCCTGGTTCCTAATAAGCTACGAATGGGTACCAGTCTGGGGCCCCAGTGTTGGGGATCCCAGCTTTAACTCACTTGTCTTTATTTTTCCCTCTCCCCCTACTCTCCCTTCTCAGTCTCTATTATCTGTTTTTCCTTTATCTTCTCCATTTGTTAAAATTTTTTGGCTCCCACATATAAGTGAGAGCCTCTGAATCTTTTTGTGCCTGACCTAAAGATCAGGTAAAGACAGGAAATCTGGTGAAAGGAATAATCTAATTTCATTATAAAAGACCCCAAAATAGAAATGCATATATCCCAAAGTCAATTTGGGATATAAGATTACTAGCTTAAACATTTATTAATTAATAGTTTGTTAGTTTTTGAGGGCAGTGGCTTGTTAAAGCAAACTGAATATGGCCTGAGAAACTCTGTACTTCTATGTTTGAGTTCTTGTGGATGAACTGTAACCTAACTTAATAGTCAGACAAAATTCAAAACCTAACTTAATAGTATGCATCTGTAACAACGGCTTAGTGTTGGCCAATCCCAGCAGCCATACTTCAACCACTCATAGACTGCGAAATGTTCAAACTGCATTCAAAGAAGGCAAATGCTGAGCTGTAACCGATCTCACTGTTTCTGTACCTCACTTCTGATTCCTGTATGTCACTTTACCTTTTTTGTCTATAAATTTGTTCTGACAATGAGGCGCCCCTGGAGCCTGTCTGAATTTTCTGTGATTCTGGGGGCTGCCCGATTTACAAATCGCTCATTGCTCAATTAAACTTCTTTAAATTTAACTCAGCTGAAGTTTTTATTTTACCAGATGGTGTCAGAAGCACATCCGAAGTGGAGCTTTTAGTGACCCTCAGGAATACTGAGTGAACACGCAAGGAACCCGCAGGACCCACTCGTGTCCATTGATCTCTGGGAGTAGATGGGGTAAGCTCCGTTTTGGATTTAGGAGCTCCACGGGCTCTTGTTTTCAGATCCCTGAGTTTCTTTGCGCAAATTTCTGGTCCCAACTGGGTTTGGCATCATGGCAGAAATAGGACTGGGTCCAGGAATGGATTTGATCCGGGAATGAACTGGCTTGGATACAGTTAGAGGTCTCTTAACATCTGACTGGGTCAGAAAGGAACTGGTAGTAAGCAGTAATATTGCAGGGGTTATAAAATTTGGCTTTTAAAAATTAACAGGAATTTTTGTGTTCCACCCGCTATGTTAAATTTTTCTTGTATACTCAGGTAGAAAAAAGTCATTGGCTAAGTTAATCAAGAGAACCTGAGAGTAAAGCCAATATTTTAGGTAAAAATTAGATCCTTAATTTCTGGGCAACTGAGTTCATTCTGGTTTATACTCTAAGCCTGGGAGGCAGCGAAGTCTTACGGCAAAATCTTACCATAGGTAAATTACAGGGGAACGCTACAAATGAACAACAATGCATCGAAGGAAATTTAAAAATGAGGCTTCTCGGTAAATTTCCATTGGCTAAGAATGAATTTGGCACCACAGGATGTCAACTGCTGTTCTCTTTGGAATGATCTGTCTTGCACTCTTTGCTGACTACTATGGGCGACAGGTTTAGGCATTGACAGGATCGTGGGACATGGGGAGCTTATTCCTTCCTAAAAGGGGAAACTTGAGAAGTGATGAGACTGCTGGAAAAAAATCCCTTTGCTACCAAGAAGCAACCACCTGAACTTTTCAGGGTTGTTTCAATGGGTGGGTCTTTCTCTGGCCTCCCTGATCATTGTGCCTTCTCCAACCTGCCACAGGCAATGCTTTCCTCTCTCTCCTTTCCCTTTCTTATCTTTCCTCTTACTCAGAGCGACCATCTTGCCCAGAGACCACGTGCTGAAACTCCTACGGAGAGGTTGGATTAAAGATGAGGGGCCCCATCTGAGGGCAAATGTAAGCCTTGCCAATTTGATATTGGGTGCCAAGCAGAGTGGCTAATATCTATGCTTTATGACACGTATTTTGCTCTGGCCAGACTGAAAAAAGATAAATTTCCTTTATGATGCATCTTGGCCCTGGCGTGATGGTGTGGCAAGCTGAGTCACTAAGGCTGTTCGGGGAAAGGGAAACCACAAGTTTGGCATGCTGGCAAAAGGGTAAGAATTTCTTACCAGTCAGGTTTCTGGCTTCTCTCTCTCTGTGCAAACAGTTGAATGAATGGTAAAAATCACTGTTTATGTCTTCTGTAAAGTTTTGATTAATGCGAAAAAGAATTCTGAGTCTTAAACTGATATATTTGTGCTATGAATTTGTTTTTCTGTGTCAAGGAGTACCTGAGGATAAAACATGGGCTTAGGTCCGCATAAGCTGGCTGCTCAGCATGGCCTAGCAAGCTGGTCAATAACAAACTTCCCCACAGGTCCCTAAAATAAACACAAAAACTGGATGGGGTCTCCATCTTGATTTATGTCCTTGGGAGCTTGACTTTGTAACCATTTGGCAGTACTTTCTCTTGGTCTCTGCCTTCCAGGGAACAGGAATTTTAGGATTTATGTCATAGTTAGCTCTAAAAATTATCTTGAGTAGTTAAAAGCGTTTGCAAACTCAAAACTAACTACTCTAGATTCCTTCTGGGAAGGGCAGTGGAGACTGCCCTGTGCCATATCTCCGTAGCGAGGGTTTTGCCCTTTCACCCTGGCAGTCTGGGTTTGATTCCCTGCTTAGGAAGAAAGTCCTTTTTGGTTTAATATTTGCATGATGTTGTCTAGTCTCTTCTTCTCCATGGACTATCTTAAATTTTCCTTTCTCTGAGCACCTGAAAGGTTACCTTTGGTAAAGTTCAAAGGCCAGAAATATTGGCTCTTTGACCATTTAAACAAAACTTTAAAAGAACTTTATTAAAGAGTGCTATTGTTAAAAGTCAGCTTCATTAAAAGAGGATATTCAAGCTCTAACAGCCTGGACTTCTTGGGAAAACAATAAGGCAGCAGAAACCCCTTTCCTGACCTTGTTCTTCCTAGAACTCCACCATAAAGCCAATAACCAATTAAGAAACTTAAAAACTGGCAAATGAAAAATCTTACAACTACTGTAGTAATCTTCTGTGTAATTATATATGCATTGTGTATAATATTTATATAAAAGAGCTCTAATTAATTGGCTTAAACAAAACTAAGCGCTTAAATCAAATATTTTGAAAGCAAAATGAAAACTGTAATGCCGCTGGGCGTGGTAGCTCCCAGGCAGGAGGATCACCTGAGGTCGGGAGTTTGAGACCAGCCTGGCCAACATGGTGAAACCCTGTCTCTACTAAAAATACAAAAAAATTAGCCAGACATGGTGGTGGACACCTGTAATCCCAGCTACTCGGGAGATTGGGGCAGGATAACTCCTTGAACCAGGGAGGCAGAGGTTGCAGTGAGCTGAGATCATGCTATTGCACTCTAGCCTGGGCAACAAGAACAAAACTCCATCAAAAAAAAAAAAAAAAAAAAAAAAGAGAGAGAGAGAGAGAAAATTGTTCAATTTATTCTGGAGACATTAAATTCCAAATAAGTCTTGGGGATATATGGAATTAGCCATGCCCCATACCTATGCAAGAAAGGTTATAAAGTAAAACATGTCACATATGGTCTGTGTATGTCATGAAAGAATTTATGAAAAGAAATTTACACCAGAAATGTTGTACAATTTACGGGTGGTTAGGCCTCCTAAATGCTTCACAGAATGTCACTATGACTCTTAACAGTACAGCTTGCCTGATTTACAGCTAGGTAAGTCCTAGGACATGTGAAGTTAGATTCTGGAAAGAAACCTTATCTGCATTTCTGTCTGGGTCCTGGCGCCACACCTGGTACATAATTAAAATCCCTTACTTATCAAGGTTTTCACCAAAAGTAAAAGCCACTAAGAGTTAACATTGTAATATGTAATTGAGACTACTGAAAAAATATATTTACATACAAGATGTGTAAGGAGAATAAAATGTGTTTTTGTAAGAGATTATAAGAACGTATGGGAATGTAAATTTTTGCCTAGGTTAGAGGGTTAAAAGATTGTTTTACATTAAATAAAGCTAAAGGTTTGAGCAAGTTGTGGAAGGTTTATAAAAATTAATTATAAAAGATTCTATGTGTGAACATACAGCCAAAAGTTAAAATGGCATTAGTCAAGTTTTTTTTTTTTTTTCCCATAGATAAGACATTGGAATAAAAGCACAACGAAATATTCTTAGAACATTGTTCTGCTCTGAGAAAAAAAAAAGTAAGGGGTTATAAAAGGTTTTTAAAAATCTTACCTTACGGTCAAATTAATTAAAACTGAATAGGTTTATAAAATGTTATCAAAAACTAGCTTCAACATTAAAAATACACTAATGGAAAAATAAAATTTGGGTTTCTCTTTTAAAAACATGTAATATTAAAAGATGATGAAAAGTTTTTGTTTACTTTTTAAGTAAACTACAAAAGCAAAGGGGGGCCGGCAAAGAAAGGAGACAGAGTCAGTAGACCTATACTCTCTTCATTGGGTCTTGTTTGGAAAGCTGAGTCTCCTCCCTATCAGAATAATGTTTCTTCCTTTAAAAAAATTTTCAGTTATTATTATGGCTAAATGAAAAGCTTATAGTAACCTAAGATTCTATTTTGTAATATCCAATGTTTTAAACCTTTGTTTTAAGCCCATGGTTCACTGAGGACAACCCCTTCCCAATCTAGAACCCAAAGATTGGATTTTCTGCGAACATCAGAGAAAGACTGTCCTTGCTATGTACTTTGCAGCAAAGCTTTGGAGCCTTGAACCTTGGGTTCATGATCTCACAGCTGAGAAATGTCCCTCCACACTCCTGAACTCTACAACCATTGAAACCCTTAAGGTAAAATTAACCAGGAAAGTTTCTCCCCTTAAGAAGATGGCATCCTTGATGTGAACAGCTTTTCCCAAGATCCTGGATCAAAACGTCTACTATCACGAGACTCTTATATTTGAATATTTTTCCTTGTTTATGCCTTTGGGAACAATAGTAATGAAAAGGGGATCTATTATGTGCACTTACAGGATATACTTTTATTTGTGAAGGACTTTGCATCCAGCCTTATATGTGAATAACCTTGCACTTTAATAGATAAAACATGAAGGCCCAATGTACATGAGAAAATTTAGTGGTACATATGTTGCCTCATAATCAGTCAAAACTCTTCTTAACTCACATTATGGATTAAGGAGAACGTTGTCAGGAGGCCTTTGCTCTTCTAAAAAGACATCATTTGTTAGGTCCTTTTTCCATGGGTTAGAATAAAAGAGGCAATAATTAGAAATGTCACCCTAATAATAGGCTCTACAGCAAATTCTACTTTAAAGGCTATTGTTACACAACAGACTTTAAATTATCTTGTGAAAGTTATGCTAAATAATAGAATTGGCCAAACAGAAAAGTACCTGCACAGTTGCTGACACCTGTGGCCTATGGAGAAATACATCAAATGTAGATTATACAGTTTCAGTTGTAGGGTATTAATGAAAAGACCACTTGGCCAAGGAAGTGGATGCTTCATCTAGCTCATTCTTTAATCTATTTAATTTTACTTGGTTTGGTTTATGGGGAACCTGGGTAAGGAGCACACTCGAAATTTGTTATTATTCTCCCGGTAGTCATAATAGTAGTCTCCCTGGTGAGCTGTATCCTCTCAAAGGTTTTAAATGTTTGCATGCAGCCATCTCTAGGACGTCAAACGGTCTCTATTCAACTGGAATGACGAAAGCGGAAAGAAATGTGTGACCCTGAGGACACCATAACCTACGAATGATGTGCTGAGACTGGAAACCCTAAAGGATGTTACTGAGAATGGCACTAAGGCCTTAAGTTTGGGTCACACTCTCACCTAAGTGAGAACCTGGCTGAAAAGGGAGAATGTTTTAAAAACAAAATTAGAGGAAGGACTGAGCTCATGCACTAGGCCCCAACAAACCACAACAAGCTAAAATGGAGTCACTGGTGCTAAATGTGACATAATCAAACTAAGGCTTTAAGAAAACACATAGATGCTAGAACGGACCAGCATTCCATTTGTTTTTCTCCTGTAAACAGGATGTCTATCATAAGGAGGTACCGTCTACTCAGTCCTTATTCTCTCCTTGCAAAACCCACTTTTTTACTGTTTCCCAGTGGGTTTCAAAACCATATAATACAGATATTAACATCACTGACTAAGATTTTGGTCAATCTCTCAAAATTGAGAAAATGACCAAAAGGGGGAAGTAATTGTTAAGGCAAACTAAATATGGCCTGAGAAGAACTCCATAGTTTTATATTTCAGTTCTTGTGGATGAACTGTAACTTAACTTAATAGTCAGACAAAATTCAAAACCTAACTTAATAGTATGCATTTGTAACAATGGCTGAGTGTTGGCTAATCCCAGCAGCCATACTTCAACAACTCATAGACTGCTGAATGTTCAAACTGTGTTCAAATAAGGCAAACACCGAGCTGTAATCAGCCTCACTGTTTCTGCACCTCACTTACGATTCCTGTATGTCACTTTACCTTTTTTGTCTATAAATGTGTTCTGACCATGAGGCACCCCTGGTCTCTGTGAATCTGCTGTAATTCTGGAGGTGCCTGATTCGCGAATCATCCATTGCTCAATTAAACTCCTTTAAATTTAACTCAGCTGGAGTTTTCCTTTTATCAGGTTGAATTTTACATATCTACTTTAGATTTTAATTTCTTCTATATTACAAAGGCTGATAAGATGTTTGTTAAATAAATGAACTCAATGCATTGGACAAAAATTTCCTGTTGCTTTTTTTTCAAATTACATAAATTGATGCTACTTTATCCACCTTTCTCACATTTTCTGTGTCCTAATCTCACACTGGAGGTTCAATAGTCTTCTTCATACCTCAAGTGCTTTCTCTTGTAATATGAAAGGCATGTGGCCACTTTCCTTTTCTAATTATTTCATAAATCTAAACGTTTTTATTACCTGTTGGGTACTATGCTCATCATCTGGGTGAAGGCATAATTTGTACACAAAATCTCAACAATATACTATTTACCCATGTAAAAAAACCTAAACATGTACCTGTTGAACCTAAAATGAAAAAGAAAAACAAATAAATAATACCTTCCCAGAATATTGCCTATGGGAACAAGTCTAAATTCCTTAATATAGAGTAAAATGGTAATAAAATTCTTGCCCTGATTCTTTCTTAG